TCGGAGGCGAGTGTGAAGATGGCTGCCTTCTTCTGGGTTATAGCGCCGCGTAATCTGGTAGAAGTAACCAACGATTCGGAGGTCCTTGCTGCCTCCGTGATCACGGTGATCGTGATCATCGCCCTGATGACGGAGGCAGTACGACCTCTGAAACGTTGGTTAACATCAACCAGACTACACAGCGCAACAACCCAGAAGACAGAAATCTTCATACTCTGATGATGGAGGCAGTATGACCTCTGAAACGTTGGTAAACATCGACCAAACTAAACAGCGCAACAACCCAGAAGACAGAAATCTTCATACTCTGATGATGGAGGCAGTATGACCTCTGAAACGTTGGTAAACATCGACCAGACTACACAGCGCAACAACCCAGAAGACAGAAATCTGTATTGTTATTCATATTTAGTTATGCGTTTCATTAACGTAATTTGGAACGTGCGTTAAAGTTAACAGAAAATATATCAAAATAACTGCGTTTTAGGATTTTATTACGTGGTTGTTCCGATAAAGCCCTGGATGGAACGAGTACTGAGGCAGGGACAGGTTATCGAAGGAACAGCAGAAGAAGGTTGAACACGTTGACACTTTTTTAATCAGACACTTTGTAAACTGCGGTTAATTCTGAATGTCGTCTTAGACTCGGATTCACTTCGCTGAACACTGCTTGATAAATATTGTCCTTTGACAGAAGCTCAGGACTTTCTTTCGTTCCTCTTGTCGCTTGTTTATGACGGTCCATAGTTCAAGGTTATCTGCTAATAAGTTTGTCGGACGCTCAGGTCCTAAAGCCAGCAATGCGCCTAGCGTTTCTCGTTGTGGGTGAGAGTCCATGTACAATTCCATGTCGGCATGGACTCGTTTTTTGATGATAAACCCTTTAAATTTACTCAGATACGTAACTTTCTATATTACGGTAAAATAAGTTTTTTAATGTGAATGTCAACATACACGCCTCACAATAAGACACATAGTGAATGCGTTGCTTTTAATTAAGTCGTCTTACCGTAAAGGAATTCAGAGTGACACACTAACGGACAAAAAGACCTTGGAGAACTTGGTTACACCTCGAGGCTGCTGCACGCCCCAGGTTATTAGCAAGAAAATTTTTATTACGATTCCAGTCAAGTTTATCACTGCTATTTTAATTGTCATTAAACCATATATTTGACGTTAATTCGTATTTAAGTGAGCAGGCTTGTGATAATGTTCCAAATTTGCTTTTTTGAGACACTAACAAGCGAAAGTACAGGAATGCAAAAGTGTTCCTTGATATTTCTCACACTTAATCAGTATGAGTGTCGCGATCGCGTGGTTAGAACTCCTGCTTCGTTTTCGGTTAGTCCCAGGTTCAGATCTAGAGCAGGTGAAACGAAAGAAATTCAGAGTCATGATAGCAGACTCGAACCTGGTATTTTCCGAGTATAACTCTGTACCACAGCCTAATAATTCTGCGGAGTGATTTTCTACTCGTTACCAAACACCTTGAACAGATATGAGAAGGCAGCGGTTGGTACTAATTGCAATACAGTAAAGGAACATTCTAATCCCTCCGGCAATGTGCTGCATTGGAAAGTTCGTTTGTGATTATTTTAATATTTATGACAGGATAAGGCCGTTAAGTTCTTTATCGCACTGTATTGTGTCTGCGAACCAGCTTTTCAAACACGAATACAGTGATTTTTTTAGTTGGCTGATTCTCTTCCGGATAACGTTAAGTTAAGAATGCCTTGAGGAATTTTAGCTCTTCGTCTAACATGTTCGGTTGCATGATCGTCTTAAAACTAGTGAGGAGGAAATCCACAGCGTCTTCAGTTTACACCAGCCACGACTAAAACGTGACTGTATATAGCCTAATATTCGTATAAATCGGACACAGCTATTAACTATGAGTGCTACTTGTAATAGGTTAACGCGTGGGGAAATTATACCTATTTTACGTGGCATATGTAGTCATGCAAAATACGAACAGGATTTTGAGAACGAACAAGAAAATATATATGTATGTAATGCACGTCCTTATGTGTGTGTAAATTTATGCGAATTTTGTCATAGGATTTTCAGTAGGATGATTCTCGGATGTGTTGTATTTTAAACAGGAAATATCAGTAAAATTTCATTGAATTAACGTTTTAAGCGTAGATTTCCGAACCGGCTCCTTGTGTATTCTTAGGATTTAATAATTATGGACTCAGTTCGTAAAAGCTTTGGAGACAATTTCTTATTCTTCAAATATTGGCCGGTTCCTACAGAAAGGATCCATTGGGGCCCAATTACTTGATCACATTATTTTTATATTGTCAGGATTTTCGAACTGAAATTTATATGCGGACTGAGACCGACAGAGGATATATAAAACGATACAAGATAAAGTCACAGAGAGTTGTGTATTTAGAATGTACGAGTTGACGTTTCGTGTATTGTGCTAAAATGTCAGCAAGTCTAATTATTCAGGTTTTAACAGTTCTCGGAAAGAAATGTTTAAAAATATAACTTACGCGAAACAAATTTACCGTTATATTGTATTGCGTAAATGCATTCTGCCTGTCTGTTTTTACCGGTCTGTCCATATTCAAGAATCTGCTTTTAATAGAAGCTAACATTAGATATTAACATAGTAACTCGTTTAAACTCATGGTCGACTGGTACAGCCATGTAAATGATTAAGCGCTCACAAATGAAGTTGAAACAGATCGTCTGATTGACGTCGAAGCATTTCAGATCTTGAGTTTAAATTGTCACTGATATAGCATTGAATTTTATAAAACAGGAATATCAAAAGAATCTTTTATTTTGCTTATAATATAAATAATACTGAAAACTAAAAGAAAGATGTTGAACATGGCTCTGAAATGTTGCATTATGCTGTGAATAAACCCTACCACTAGGCTATGGAATGCGGGAAATTTGACTGTAATTTGGCGTTCTGGGTTGCAACGCAGTGTAAACTTGTCGGTAAGTAAATATACAATCTTGAGGACTAAAAATGGGGACGGCATGTTCCTCCAGAACATTGCCGTCTACTTACAAATTCACCGCCTTAAAACCTCATTTCACGAGAATAAATTTGATTGCTCAGGCACTGAAACGTTTGTAGATTTCATTCTTTAATACCCAACTTTATTGATTTCAAGGACGGTTGTCATAAACATGTCGTCTCACTATCCAGTTATCTAATCACATAAAGCGTTTCATAAATTATGTCCAAAAGTCACAGGTGACAGCCTATTAATATTATGACGGCTCCAACGACAAGCAGCGAAGGTAACAGGAAAGATATCCCTGTTGTTTTAAGCGCAGGAGGTGAGAGGCAAAGCTCCATGAATTCTAGACCCCGGCATTGTATTGATGTGTGCTTTGCTTACAGTTCCGACCGCTTTATCCCCATGAAATACTCCCCTAATATTCATTTGTCAGCAGGTCAATGAATCACAGAACAAGAACACGTAATGAAGAGAATGTACTACAAAGACAAATGTATCAATTTTTATCTTTTGGGTTGCATAATTTGTACCTGGGTACAAACGTGTCGGAGGAAGTATCATTTTCTTTAGGGAACCACTCTTTTGGCCCTGAAGATGGAAGTGATACGGTCTTCCGAAACGATGGTAACCACCTAGAAGTCCGCACGACATCACACTAATTTAGCCCTCTAGCATTGGATGGAGATTGTTAGTATCTGTAGGTTACTACAAAACTAATTAATTATTGTCCTCAGGTTTATGCGACTGGAATTCAGTGTATAACTTCGGGGACGAGACGTGTCGATTGTTAACCCTGTTTTCCCTGAAGATGGTAATTTTAATGTCTACCGAAACGTTTGGAAAACCTGCCGAAGTTATGAACAACTCATTCAACTTTGTTAAAACGTCTGAATATTTTAAGGTCTCTGATGCATGAAGTCCGTAGTAAATTGTTGAGAGAACCTAGGAGTTATAGCCGTTGATGAATAGGACAGAAGGACGGACAGACACACGAAGCGCAATCTCTGTAGAATGCTAATATACTGACCTTTCCGTGTTTCAATCACACTCTTTACGATGCATGGACTCGTAATCATCGCCTGTGACGGGTACAGAAGGCAAATGAATGCTTGCTGAATATATCGGCGTCAGAGAGGGAAAAGAATTGACAATGGATAACATATCTTTCACTTGTCTTGAGGCTTGTCAAGTTTTTTTTTTTAAATAGAGAATGAAGGAGACAATGCAATTACAGTTCATGACTAGCAGCTGACTGCAGCCTGTGGTAAGGTAACGTACCACACGTTACCATATCACTTTCTCTTTCGTGGCGAATTGACTGACGACGTCTTCGTGTGACCGGCAGAACTTTCTTCAGACCGGAGCGAGGTACTAACCAGCACAGACTCCATTTGTCTACCTGTACAGAATTCGAACGAGCAGGTTCCTGCAGAGGTATCGTTTAGGAACTGTATTCTTGAAGTGCCCAGTTCGAATTACGATCTGATTACCAACTGTCTTGAATAAGATTTCCCATGATTTTCCGCAGTATCTGTAGGCAAATACAAGGATACTGTTTTGAAACACACGATGACCGCCCCCTTCCGAATCCTTTTCTTGTCTTCTTACTATTCGAATCGGTTGTTCCATCTTATTATGCTCTGCGTTAATGCTGTAATGCAAAATAACCTACAAGTCGTGTTCGAAATATTTATTTGCAGTTTATTAAACTATTCAGCGATCTCAGTAGCTCAGACTCTGTATCGTCGAATGATAGGAGTATCTAAATCTAATGAATTGGAAAGGAAATGGAAGTGGTCGTGGCCGAATTTAAGATATCTCGGGGGGGGGGAATCACAAATACCCTCAGTCAGGATAATTTAACTCCGAGCAGCGATTTGTGCCCGAAATTTTTGAAATACGAAGCGTGAGTGTTAACTACTTGGCTCCGATACTCCGTATTTACATTAAGAGAATATGTTAAGTAAATGCTATAATTAAGTCATATGAAACATCGCGCTTTCTTGTTTTCAGTTGGCACCACTGTGGGTCTGGCGAACGGCGTTCATTATCACAACGGTCCTTCTGCTGGTGCATACAACATCGACGTCACAAAGTATGTATATAAATGGCTTGTATTGTACTTAATCTTTATTTTAAATTCATTTGTACAAGTTTTTAATTGTATTTGCTTTGAAACTGACAGGTTTTGTTTAGGTGTGACACAAAAATAATTCGGTATCGAGGAATATTTGCGACGTTAAACAACAACAATACAGACGAATTTAAACATCAATAAAGTAATATAATTTCGCACAATTAAACATGGAAATGAAACTTGGGTTAATTAGAATAAAAATAACTTTTAGGGCTTATTAAAGGTCGAACAGTAGAGGACAAAATTAAAGGCGAAGAAATATGGAATACATAAATATATATTCATAAAGTCGAAGAATAAGCATCTGAATAAGACAAGAGGATTGGACGAAGGTGTGTCTCGGCTCCACATGACAAAGTACTTCGAAAATTCGGGTGATATTAAACACTGCACAGGACAAACGTAGATGAGAAAGGCAGGTCTGTTTCTCAGCCTTCAAGTCTTTGGCTTGGCAATTAAGCTCTTTGTGTGATACCCAGTAAAGTCTGCCCTTGACATGAATGCAGCCCGCTTTGCCTCCGTACGTCCGAGAAACCGCAAATCTACGCTTTATAGTCGATGTTGAATGCGACGGATAATCATAATCAATACCGGATTGTTTTACATTTATAAACAAACATCTATGACGTTATAACTTGTCCTGCTTAGAACAATCTAGGAAATGTACGTATAGCTAATAATTCTGGCTCGTTTGCTGTATTATTATATCTATATTTTCGATTTGTTAATGCTCTTTAAGAGGTTGATTGTTCCGTCAGAACATGAGGATGGTTAGATCCAGTGATTGAAGAGTTATCTGGAGTCAATGTCATTTGCGTGGACGATGTGTCTGATGAAGTCATCACGAGAGATTCCCCCCACTGGAGGTCCACGGACCACACTCTGACAATCTGTGATGAGATTAGCTGGGCATACAGCATGCTCGGATGACATTAGGATGGGTGTTGAGTAATTGAGATGAGGTGCAATTGACTTAGTCGAAAAACACCGGATAGAATCCATCGTGTTCTGAAGTCGGTGATGAACCTTCTATAAAAGTGGGAATTGCATTGATTGAGAGCATGTGACATTTTTTATTTAGTAAGTACTGGAAATAGTCCGTGTCTCTGTTTGAGATGCAAAAGTTTTTCTCGTGTGAGTCCATTGCCGCTGTGAGCGCAACGAAGCGAACGAGGTTTCTGCAAAGAGGCACGATAACCCATAACGACGCGCTCGTCATGAGGATGGCTGAAGGCAAGTGAAGTCTATGAAAGTTCTTGACAGAAAGATGTTCGCGGTACCAACCCTTTCTCCTCAACCTCATAACGGTACTTAATTTTTTGTTTAACACTCGAAATAACTTTCAGTGAAAGGTTAGGTTAACCTCATTGCCCTAACATAAAATTACCGAGGAAATTCATTCTCCACACTTTTACACATTCCACTTTAAGGGGTTCCTCTTTTTCCCGTCTTATAAGAAAGTATGGCTTTAAAATGGAACATGGCAGAGACCATTGTTATTCAACCTGGGGTACGCGTACCCCCGGGGGTACGCGAAGACATCTTAAGGGGTACGTGAAATTTAAAAAAAAATATTATTTTATGATAAACACTAAATAATAAGTAATGTTATTTATTTTATTGATTTTAGATGTAGATTATATACTATGTATAACTTGAATTATACACCAACAACTTTGGGGGTACAAAGTTGAAGAGAAATTATATCTGGGGGTACGCGAACAAAAAAAGGTTGAATACCACTGGCATAGACAATGGTTGGATTATTTCTGTTCACTATCAGAATCAAAGGGAATTTACGTGTTGCAGAAAGTCGAATACTTGAAGATTATTCTTTAAAAGCAATTATAGCCCGTATATGCTATTTTATCAACAGAATATACTACTTGAAATATTATTTAATATAGAATCAATATTTTTTTCAATATTATTTATTTTAATTTTCTCCGAAAGCATGATAATGAGCAGATATTTTTCATAGTTAGACAACGAGTCATATTGAGTAATTTATTCTTACTAGAACCGTTAATGTATCCGGCAATAAATTCGTACGTGTACCAAAAATGTCACTGAACACAGAGAAACGCCGTATCGACATGTCGAACGCTTCAGTTACTTTGCATCTAAACCACAAGTGCTCAGGTGTTTCAATGGCACTTCAAAACTTAGGTCAGAATTCTGAAAACTTAACGGAAGTTGAAATAAGTTTTCAAAAATAAACGAAATGCGTCGAGTCTTTTGAGAACCAACGGATCTTAGCACGAAATCCATTTGTCAATATTTCACCTGTACCAGTCTGGATCTCAAGGGGTTTCCGCTGTCGGTGTGATGTATCTGTCAGCACTTTCATTCTGTCTTTCTCTTAGTACGGTGAGCCATAGATGGCTGCAGTAATTGACCCCAATACGTGAGGATTCTGAACGATGGTACATTAGGTCAAGAGTTCACATTCGTGTCTCTGCTGTCCTTGATCAAGAAACTGTCGGAGGATGATGTAGTTCAAATAAACAAAACAGCAAGATAGAGATTTGAATACGGGTGAACCATATTGATTAAGTTACTGAGATATGGAAATAATCTCTAAGAGCCTAGACCGATTAGTTTCTGTAATGGAGGAAATTGCGTGATGAAAAGCTAAATAATAATTTTGTTGTCTGAACGTAAACTCTCCCCCCAAGCGCCTACGTGGCGTGTAGTAGGACAGCTTTACTTTTATGTTTTATTCGTGATTGTTTCTTATTAGAACAGCTGATTTCGGGTTTGTCTCGAAAAAGGAGGTTACGCTGTGTTCGTCTGTAATTCAGCACGTAATTCGACTGTAGGCACTCGCATATGTTTAAGACTTCTTTCTGGATTTTATGCATAACTTCCATTGATTTCCATGGTGCGTGGGTGAGAAACTAACTTTTCATACCTCTTAGTGCAACTCCGTCGTCAATAAGACGATCCTAATCGAACAGAAACTCGAAACGTTTGTCATGAAACTTTATTTCAAAATGACGGAAGAAACACACCGTGGATTGGTTCCAGAGTCGTCCTTCTACCTTAGATATTTATCAACATCTCGCTCTAAAATACTAGAAGAGAGACAGACTCTTTATAATCGATTTGAAGTATCTATACATCGTTAATAGATTCCACTGCGTTATCTAAGCATAAATATATTTCAAGGAAACCATCTTCATGACCCGGATAGTCTAAGCATTATACGTACTGTGAATAGGAAAACATGACTGGAAGGACATCTGCACTTGAGTGATGGAATCCGCATGCCCAGTTTGAAGGTCGCTGTTGGGAAGAATACTTTATCCTTATATTATCATCCTCAAAATATAATTCCTATCAAACACGATATTACCACATGACTTATAACCAGAACCATTGTGGAAATTGAAAATTTCTATTAACTGTCACGTATTTAATTTGTTCCAATTCAAAATGAATCCCAAAAGAGTGAATCCTTCAGGTACCGTGTATGACTCTCTGGATAGGGGAACAAAGTGTCTGTGTACACCGCAGAAGGACACGGAAGAGGCCGACATATTGAAGCCAGTTATTGCAGGGGAGGAATGGAACTTCTAAAGTGGTCATGTCGAATGCAGAGAGGGAACAGATCGGTCTACCGGATCCAACAGAACACGTGACTACCCTTTTTTTACCTGAAGACGGAGGAGAATTTAACCTGGAAGTGTAGTAATTTTTTTAAGGATGTAAGACATTTTTTAAAAGCAGATGGTGGATAAAGTTCAAAGTAAGTGGTTTTACCAGATATCTGGAGGATTCAAAGTTTTATAATTTAATTTGGATTAGAACAGACCAGACGGAATAATCCGTTAACACTGAATAATAATAATTATAATTCAATTAATTTATTTAATAATAATAATGCGATTATTGAACAGACGAGTAAGGCTATGTACATTCGATATGTATCGATAGGGAAATGAGCGCCAGTATTGCAGATTGAAATGCGCGGAGCCTGTTACAACTCCTGTCACACAGAATCTAGCGAGATAAATATTTTATTTTTGTTAGCGAAAAAGTCTCGGCAAGAACTTGGACGGAGGGCGATGACATCGTGCCCTCAATCTGCAGAGCACTGCACTGGCAAACACAAATGTAGGTTGTCGAGAGCTGTAAGGTACATTCACAACAGTATGCTTAAGAAGCAACGTCACTGTTTCTCGCGAGAAATTTTCCCGGCTCTTAACTTCTGTGTGAAGTTACCAGGATAATTAATATTCCGAAGGTGACTGTCTTCTGGGATGTAGCGCGCTGCGTAGTCTGATAGAAATTGACCGACGTTTCAGAGATGACTTCTGCCACCATCGTTAGGGCGATGAGGTCTGATGAAAAAAATTTTCTCCGAAACGTAGACATCTACCTACGAGCACATTCAGCTCAAAAACCCGGCAGTGCAACAGACGAGATCTTATTGGAATTTCGTTTATATAAATTGTGATCCTGGAAGCAATATCCTTGCCTTTTCCTTTACCGAAGACATAATACTCTGGCGTATTTCTTCAATTAATAACCATAATGGCGCTGTCACGCCGGCATGGAGGTATTTTATTTAATAAGAATTACGTGTATGCATGAGAGATTTCCAATTATCATTACACGACAAGCAATATATTATTTGTATTTTAGAAAAAGACGATGCGAGTGTTGCCATGACAACGTATCGCCACTTTCTCTTCATGGATGCTGATCGTGTCTTGTGCCGTATTGTAAGATTCTGAGTTATTAAGATTCACTCAGCTCCTAATTGATTTCAGGCCTGTGTCCCAGTAAGACCCCAGACATGAATCACATCATATCACCTATCACCTCTACCACTGAGGATTAGGCCAGCAGAACCGTGTCGAACATGACGGTTGAGTGGCCCCAGAGTCGATTGTCTGCCTGGGGGTATATTTTATGACTTTTCTCAAAACTTCTAGACTAATCTTACCTGCAATGACCTCGCATGAAATCTAACCTTAATACGGGACAGGACCTTTTAATTCTGTCGTCCCTTCTGCTAAAAGGCAAATCTTTAGGGCTGGCAGGTTCCTTGTCGCCAAAGCCCTTCCTGCTTTTGCCGTCGTGTTCCTGGGCCTTCAATGCCTCTTACCCTACAGGCACTCGTTCAGCTTTCAGTTTCATTACAATCCGTCTGGAGCTCCAGTCACTTTTTATTTAGTCCTGTATCGTGTTTTAATTTAATAAAACGTGAAGGCGTTTGTCTTCTGGCTTGTAGCGCCCTGTAGGGTGATCGCCATAATGGTGGAAGCAGTAAGCTCCTCTGAAACGTCGCTCGGTATCTTTCAAACTACACGATGCTACAACCCTGAAGACGCACATCTTCATACTTGCCTCCGTGAGAACCTCAAATATCACTCAATAAAATATTCTCAGTTGATTCGTGATACCTTAAATTTTTCTAGTATCTTAACTTCATCCAGCAAGAGATCTTATAATTTTAATTTCGGACGCTTGTATTCATGCATGTCTTTTCTTTTAGACAAGATCTTCAGCCAGTTTAATCCATCTTCCATCCTCGTAACCTGTCTCGCTAAGACTGACCAGTTGCTTCCGCGGAGTAGATTCCATCTGGGGCTGAAGCTGATAGTCACTGAACTGGCCATGAAATTCCCCGTCCTTTATAGAGCCCGAAGTTTCATCGTGAGAACCCGTATATTTAACCAGATGAATCCAGTACACCCCTGAAACTTTATTTTAAAAAATTCCTTCCATATACGCCTTTGTCTTCAAAGTGTGCCCTTTCCTTGATGGTTTCAGCATAGATTGTTTATAGAAAATTAATTTTTAATATGCAAAAGAGATACTAATACGACGATTTGATTCAGTTTTGCATCCAGACTGCGATAGATATTCAAAATATTTCCTTACGCTCCAGTTGGTGACTTAGAACACTCTTCATTTCATGTGTTTAGTGTTGGGGATATCTGGAGTGCGGGGAGTATAAATTGAGGCAGACCCACCCCTCCCCCCACAAAAAAAGAAAAACCTTCGAAATGCGCAAAGAAATTTGTCATCACGTTCACAACGAACGTGACAAAGGTGGTATTAGCATTTGCAAGGAACATTACCCCGAATGGAGGGACTGAACAGAGAAAGTTGCCTCGGGCTTACATTTATGCAATGAAGCAAAGAAATAATGTCAGCCGGACAGGCTGAATGACTAAAATTACCTTTCGTTATTTTCTGTGATTTCAAGGATTAAATTTCTGGAGATATCTTTCACGCTTTCCAGAGTACACACGGTGAAATAAAAGGACCCCGATTGGAATTCAGAATCGGAGACAATATTAATGTTCTGTTCGGTATTTTTCGCCCTTCTTCTTGCCGCAATCAGGCTACGTAAGAGGTTCCCAAACTTTTATACCTTGCGCCCCCTTAAAACATTTCATAAATTTCACCCCCCCTTCCAGAACAAGCGCAAGCAAACATTTGACATAAAATTTAGCTACGAGTATACATTATTTTATAATTTAGTATATATTATTCAATGCATTTAATTTAAAAAAACTAATAAAATATACGGTTCACTCGGTATCTTTCAAACTACACGATGCTACAACCCTGAAGACGCACATCTTCATACTTGCCTCCGTGAGAACCTCAAATATCACTCAATAAAATATTCTCAGTTGATTCGTGATACCTTAAATTTTTCTAGTATCTTAACTTCATCCAGCAAGAGATCTTATAATTTTAATTTCGGACGCTTGTATTCATGCATGTCTTTTCTTTTAGACAAGATCTTCAGCCAGTTTAATCCATCTTCCATCCTCGTAACCTGTCTCGCTAAGACTGACCAGTTGCTTCCGCGGAGTAGATTCCATCTGGGGCTGAAGCTGATAGTCACTGAACTGGCCATGAAATTCCCCGTCCTTTATAGAGCCCGAAGTTTCATCGTGAGAACCCGTATATTTAACCAGATGAATCCAGTACACCCCTGAAACTTTATTTTAAAAAATTCCTTCCATATACGCCTTTGTCTTCAAAGTGTGCCCTTTCCTTGATGGTTTCAGCATAGATTGTTTATAGAAAATTAATTTTTAATATGCAAAAGAGATACTAATACGACGATTTGATTCAGTTTTGCATCCAGACTGCGATAGATATTCAAAATATTTCCTTACGCTCCAGTTGGTGACTTAGAACACTCTTCATTTCATGTGTTTAGTGTTGGGGATATCTGGAGTGCGGGGAGTATAAATTGAGGCAGACCCACCCCTCCCCCCACAAAAAAAGAAAAACCTTCGAAATGCGCAAAGAAATTTGTCATCACGTTCACAACGAACGTGACAAAGGTGGTATTAGCATTTGCAAGGAACATTACCCCGAATGGAGGGACTGAACAGAGAAAGTTGCCTCGGGCTTACATTTATGCAATGAAGCAAAGAAATAATGTCAGCCGGACAGGCTGAATGACTAAAATTACCTTTCGTTATTTTCTGTGATTTCAAGGATTAAATTTCTGGAGATATCTTTCACGCTTTCCAGAGTACACACGGTGAAATAAAAGGACCCCGATTGGAATTCAGAATCGGAGACAATATTAATGTTCTGTTCGGTATTTTTCGCCCTTCTTCTTGCCGCAATCAGGCTACGTAAGAGGTTCCCAAACTTTTATACCTTGCGCCCCCTTAAAACATTTCATAAATTTCACCCCCCCTTCCAGAACAAGCGCAAGCAAACATTTGACATAAAATTTAGCTACGAGTATACATTATTTTATAATTTAGTATATATTATTCAATGCATTTAATTTAAAAAAACTAATAAAATATACGGTTCATACCTGGATTAGTGGGATGGATGTGGGTGCTTCTGTGAACATAATTTATCATACCGAGGTTGGAGTTTTCAAATGACCGCTCTAAGGTCGTTTTCCAGGTTCATCGTAGAACGATACTTTGTTTTGATGGCTGCCACTACTGAACTGCGAAGGATGCTATAAATATTTTTCCATATTTCGTTAAAAATGTTTTTCATACAAACAACAGCCCCCCCCCCCAGAAAACCACTGCCCCCCATCCAGGGGGGCGCTCCCCACATTTTGGGAACCTCTGGGCTACGTCAAAAGACAGCGAACTCTGCTGTGAAAATTTTAAATAGCCTTGTTCTTACATTTGTATGCGTCCTTTCTTTGAAATTCATTAAGTGGATGCACATTTCCAAAACTGCCTTCATGAAACGAGGAGATTCTCCCAGAAGAGTTGTCGAGAGAATTTAATGTAGATTCTTCTTGAGGCTGTTACCTTGGGGCTCAAGCGGCCGGAGCGGGAAGCTGACCACTCAACCTCGTCTTCATGGCGTGGTGCTTGAGTACAGGGATGAGTAGGGGGACACATGTTATTTTCTATAATGCTGTCAGAATAGTACACGCAGAATGTGTCGCAACTCCGACGTCCAGAAATAGTGTCACGTACGATTGCACTATTTTCACTGTCATTATGTTTGTTAGAGAATCTTCTCCTCAGGTTCTCCAAGCTTCAGCGGAGCGGGAAATGTCTGAATTACAGGCTGTGTTGATAAAATGCATGTTGCAGGAAGAGAGACCTCATCCACGAGTACTTTCCAGCAGTCTGTGGTCTCAGATCAATGTAGGGTCAAGCATAGGAGTCGCAGATTTCTCCCTGTGATTACCTACGCCGTCTTCCTTTTCTGTCATGCGAGTAAAAACGAACGAAACTTTTACCTCGGAATTATTCGCTTCAAGTTCAGAAGATAATATTTTCTGGCTCAAAATTTTTTTTCGGGACGTGACTACTGGAAAATTGTTTGTCCTTTGCTATAACTTTCGTCAAATTCTCGTTTAGAAATATGGAAACTTCGTTCCGTTATTAACTCTTAGGTTTTCAATCCGTGATTTTGATTCTGTTTTAAATAACTTGTAATAGACGGGGAAGGCCAAACATAGTCGCACGTTTTTCGACACAGCACAGCGTAAGAATGTCATTTGTTTCATTATCTGGAAAACCGCAAGCCTCAAGGGAAAATAATATCGGGTATAACATGTTTTAAAAATTTCTCTACAAATTATATTCCAATTTTTTCACTTCGATAAATATTCAGCGAGTTCCACTTGACACTCCAGTTACAAAAATTCCCCAATAATAAATTCAACAAGAAAACGAGTTCATTGGTTCTCGAGCGACGGCGAAGTTCATACGAGCATGAAGACAATTGTCTTCTGGGATGTTGGCGCCGCGCATTACTGCCATCGACCTGATGATTCAGGAAGCACGTCTGAAACATCGGTCAGTTTCTACCGAATTACGAGGTGCAACATCCCAAAAGACGGTCATCTTCATACTCGCCTCCGTGAGATCATGAAACCTCCCGCGTCCTTGCGACTTCGTTGCCGGACCGCCTTCTGTCTCCCAGTTCTCACACAGAACCGCCTGGTTTCCAGGTGGAAGGCGACGGCTGCGTCGACCTACCTCGTCCACACCGTCGTCCAGTATGAAGAGTCGGGACCAGGAGACGTCAGCGAGTGTGAACCGGTTCAAAGTCAGGAACCGGATCACACCCACAGTCACTAGCATTCGCAAGAGTGGCGTAGGCAGCACTGCGGTCGCCGCCGACGAGAAGGACGGATACAAGGTACGCAGGATGAACTAGGGCGCATTAATTGTTCGTGTACTTAATCCAGGAACTTTCATTTTGCTTTGCAGTGATACCACGCGTCTGAAATAACACGAAAAGTCCCTCTGCCTGTGTGAGGTGAGGAGTTCTGACGGCTCAGTGACCATGTCGATGTCAGTCTTTTAAATAGTAACGCCTCATAAACTTGAAGTGCATATACGAACGTTACGGAGGAACACACTGCCTCATTCATCAGCCCTGAAGATGGAAGCATTATTTTCCTCCGAAACGTTGGTATCTAGCCACAAGTTCATGCGGAGTTCCAACCCAGAAGACGAACGACAACAGGGCCACTGCCAGGTGTGCTTAATGGACCATGTGCCGCTGTTGCAGGTCGTTTGTTACTACACTAACTGGTCCCAGTACAGAACGAAACATGGCAAATTCCTGCCTGAAGACATCGAGCCTGATCTTTGCACTCACATCATTTTCGCATTCGGGTGGCTCAAAAAGGGCAAGCTGTCCTCGTTCGAGTCGAATGACGAGACGAAAGACGGGAAAGTTGGTCTCTACGAGAGGATTATGACGCTCAAGAAGGCAAATCCCAAGCTGAAGATCCTCCTGGCTATCGGTAAGTTGAGTGGCTGATGGTGCACTTGACGGGCGGCTGTCTGTTTCGATTCACGAACAGGTTAAACAGCGGCGGACTTCTTTTTAAGATTGCACTGTGTAAGAATTAACTGCTAAATTAAGTAATGTTAATGTGTCATCATAACACATAGGTAGAAAAGTAATTTCTCTGAAAATGTGGAAAAATTAAAATATTCACGAGAAAGTTTAGAGGACGTTCAGTTCAGTTTTACCGTCTCTTATGTAAAATCTTAGAGATTAATATGAAAAAAGCTGATTTTAGTTATTTTATATGGGTGTGAAACTTGGTGTATAATTATAAGCGGAGAACACAGATTCAGGATGTGTGCTGAGACGAATTACGAGGTGCAACATCCCAAAAGACGGTCATCTTCATACTCGCCTCCGTGAGATCATGAAACCTCCCGCGTCCTTGCGACTTCGTTGCCGGACCGCCTTCTGTCTCCCAGTTCTCACACAGAACCGCCTGGTTTCCAGGTGGAAGGCGACGGCTGCGTCGACCTACCTCGTCCACACCGTCGTCCAGTATGAAGAGTCGGGACCAGGAGACGTCAGCGAGTGTGAACCGGTTCAAAGTCAGGAACCGGATCACACCCACAGTCACTAGCATTCGCAAGAGTGGCGTAGGCAGCACTGCGGTCGCCGCCGACGAGAAGGACGGATACAAGGTACGCAGGATGAACTAGGGCGCATTAATTGTTCGTGTACTTAATCCAGGAACTTTCATTTTGCTTTGCAGTGATACCACGCGTCTGAAATAACACGAAAAGTCCCTCTGCCTGTGTGAGGTGAGGAGTTCTGACGGCTCAGTGACCATGTCGATGTCAGTCTTTTAAATAGTAACGCCTCATAAACTTGAAGTGCATATACGAACGTTACGGAGGAACACACTGCCTCATTCATCAGCCCTGAAGATGGAAGCATTATTTTCCTCCGAAACGTTGGTATCTAGCCACAAGTTCATGCGGAGTTCCAACCCAGAAGACGAACGACAACAGGGCCACTGCCAGGTGTGCTTAATGGACCATGTGCCGCTGTTGCAGGTCGTTTGTTACTACACTAACTGGTCCCAGTACAGAACGAAACATGGCAAATTCCTGCCTGAAGACATCGAGCCTGATCTTTGCACTCACATCATTTTCGCATTCGGGTGGCTCAAAAAGGGCAAGCTGTCCTCGTTCGAGTCGAATGACGAGACGAAAGACGGGAAAGTTGGTCTCTACGAGAGGATTATGACGCTCAAGAAGGCAAATCCCAAGCTGAAGATCCTCCTGGCTATCGGTAAGTTGAGTGGCTGATGGTGCACTTGACGGGCGGCTGTCTGTTTCGATTCACGAACAGGTTAAACAGCGGCGGACTTCTTTTTAAGATTGCACTGTGTAAGAATTAACTGCTAAATTAAGTAATGTTAATGTGTCATCATAACACATAGGTAGAAAAGTAATTTCTCTGAAAATGTGGAAAAATTAAAATATTCACGAGAAAGTTTAGAGGACGTTCAGTTCAGTTTTACCGTCTCTTATGTAAAATCTTAGAGATTAATATGAAAAAAGCTGATTTTAGTTATTTTATATGGGTGTGAAACTTGGTGTATAATTATAAGCGGAGAACACAGATTCAGGATGTGTGCTGAGAATAATACTTGGACCTAAGAGACAGGAAGTACGAGGTTAAAGCAAAAAATACATTATCAAGAGCTTCTTAATTAAACGTAGTAGTTAGCCTATTGAATTTTATACATATCTAATATTACCCTAACTCTTTAATATCAGTTTCCCATCTGCGACTACTCATGCAAAGTGGTTTCGTCCCTTGGGGTTTTCTGATCAATTGTTTTACGAAATTACCGTTTTCCTGCGTGGGCTATATTTCGAGACCACTTAATCTGTAATTAATCAACTATTATAACATTAGTAGACAAGGAGCTCAAATGATGAAGTTTCGCATCGAGTATTTATCTTATACTAACACACCTGATATCTGTCCACCCCAAGGATACGTATAAATAATAAATCCAGCAACATCTTAGCTGGCACACGAAAGAAAATGCACTGCATTGAATTGGACATGATTAATTTTCTAATTCTAATTTTAATCTGTTGTAGGTGGGTGGTCTTTTGGCACGCAGAAGTTCAAGGTCATGTCCGCGACGAGGTACGCTCGTCAGACCTTCATTTACAGCGCCATCCCGTTCCTCAGGGACCGCGACTTTGACGGCCTGGACATGGATTGGGAATATCCAAAGGGAACTGATGATAAGAAGAATTTCGTTTTGCTCCTGAAGGGTAAGTGGCAGAACGGTCAAGTGGTTAGCACTCTGCCTCGAAAGTCAATTTATGCATCAGTCTATGTTTAATACATACGAGGTGCGATCGGAAAGTTTAAAGACTGCGCCTATATTTAAAAAAAAACACCCCGTACACTTATCTCAGGTATTAAATTCATCCATCCCCCTCGAAGTAGTTCCCCTGGGAGTGAACACAACGATCCCAGCGCCGCTGCCAAGCCTGGAAGCATCCCTGGAAATCTTTCTTTGTCAGCCTGTCAAGCACCATCTGCGATTCTGCCTGAATCTCTTCTATCGTCTCAAATCTCCTTCCCTTTAGCTGAATTTTCATCTTTGGGAAGAGGAAGAAGTCACACGGCGAATAAGGAGGGTGCGGGATGACGGCCATGGTGTTTGAGGCGCGTTGAATGTTGGTGGGACGCAGCCCCTTGGAACGGGCCCCAACGATTGAAACCATCGTTAAATAAACCACGAATAATAAACGAGTAAACACGTGTCTGATTTCAGTCGTGTTTGAAGAAAGCGAATTTTGCGACATTCGCAAAAAAAAGAAAGTCCGGGAAGTGTTATTTGGGCGGAACATCTTGTTGAATTAACAGACTTCTAGGTCCGTGGGGCATGATGACGAAATGCCTGCAATCGCTGAGGCGCAGGACGAGAATATTCCAGCGGAAAGGTTACTTTGCTGTACATTTAAGAAGTCTGTATCTGCAGACCTACTGCAAAGTCGTTCAAAATGCTCGTTTCTTTTCATTTACGTCAGAGTATCACTAGTAAACCATGCAAAATATTTGATACTGACCCTTTAAAGCCGAAGCTCGACTAAATATTTAAGAATTCGGTCCGTACCGCGAAGAAAACACGACACTTCACCATTACAAAGATCAACTGGGAATAATCGCGCTTTAGAGTGAGAATCATCCGAAACACACAAATAGAAAATGGAGTTGTTAAATGTTGAAACAGCCGGTACATCTAACATCCCACTGAAGATTTTAATTATTTTATTCAGCTGTGCATCGTAACATAACGAAAATTCAGAGTAGAAAGAAGTCCATCGTGGTCTTCCGACGTATGACACCGCGTGGACTTATAAATGGGGAGCGACGTTTCGGAGGAAAGCAGAGAGGAGGTCTAGTATTTTGGCTTCACTGACTTTTCTTCATTTGTAGAACTGCGGGAAGCTTTCGAGGCTGAGGCGCAGGAGGTCAAGAAACCTCGCCTGCTCCTGACAGCCGCTGTACCTGTTGGCCCAGACAACGTTCGAGGGGGCTACGATGTTCCTGCAGTAGCCAGGTAAGCCAGCCCTTAATCCTCGCAACACTTCTACATCCAAGGAATCATAAGAGAGGCGGGTTCCTGACGTAAGCAAATGTAAGTTTGTAGTCACTTCTGGGTTGTGACGCCATGCAGAATCGTAGGTACTTGGAGGAACACACTGTCCACAAAACAGACGTTGGTATCAGGTTAAGAATCTACACGGCGTCACAGCTCAGAACAACAATTTCGTCGTTAAATTACGGATTGTGATTTTTGTGTGATTGTCGGTGTAAGCTGGTACTCGGCGTGTGAACAGCTGTGACCACGTTGTGCAGGACTGGACGACGTCACTAACCTCAGAACGCAGTTCGAGAAGCTGATGGAACTAACAAGAAATAAACGAGTAAAAGCTCCTAAGAAATTATGTCGTTCCTCGTGAATTATTACGAGGAATTCTTCACTTGTAGATCCAGATTTCGATCCTGTTCTTTGCGGTTGCCATGACAACTAAAATACTTTACCTTTTGTTTGCCGTGTTCAACGATAAAAAAAAATGAAATCAAGGATTTCTTGAAATTCTGATCAACCTAAGAAACTCCATTTCGTGAGATGTTGATAGTCGTTGAGCTTTTTAAGGAATTGACCGCCTTTTATGGAAATCCGGCTTCATTACTGAACGTTACAGTCCTGTGGCACGTAGATACGTATGTTCCCTTGCTACAGGAATCAGTAACTTTGCATTTTGTATTTATGGATCGCGTGATTTTCAGTATAAAAGGGATTATTTCCTTAATCTTTGTGATAGTGAGGTGTTGAGTTTTCTTTGCGGTACGGATTGAATTACTGCGTGTTATTTAGACGATCGTTAATCAGTTTGTGTTTTGGTCGCAGTTACTTGGATTTCATCAACCTCATGGCGTACGATTTCCACGGCAAATGGGAGAGAGAGACGGGACACAACGCGCCCCTGTTCGCTCCCAGCTCAGATTCTGAGTGGCGTAAACAGCTATGCGTCGATCACGCGGCCTCCATGTGGGTGAAGCTGGGAGCGCCCAAGGATAAACTCGTCATCGGCATGCCGACATACGGCAGGACCTTCACCCTGTCCAACACCGCCAACTTCAAAGTGAATGCTCCGGCCAGTGGCGGAGGAAAAGCTGGAGATTACACCAAGGAAGGCGGATTCCTTGCCTATTACGAGGTTTGTAACGTTTTCACAAGGCAAACTGGCAGGTAACTCACGGCTTGTCACGTGATGAGTGTTAATAAATCAGCGTAATTGGCATCTTCATCGTGATTGCAAGGACTAGGTGTGCGAAGTACAGCATCGATTATGAATCACACGATTGTCTTCAGCCACTGTTAGTATCGATAAATTACTAGGTACTGGTATCCTAATTAGTGGCCTCTTTCTGTACAGTTTCCTCCACTGCATTGCACTCTCTTTAAAAATTTGCTCGTAACGCACGTTTATGAATATATTTTCACACGTGATCTCACATTCCTAGCAGGAATTATTACAGGAAGTCGAAATTCACATTTCGCGCGCTCAGAAAATGTTGCTTTCTTCAGACCAATGATAACTTAGAACCAATGTGACGTCTCCTGGATCGTTTACCGAAGGGAGTTAATCATAAACATCCGTAGTCTATCCCCTTTTAAGCCTGAAGCTTGTGTAAATAATATTTAATAATTCAGTCCGTACCGCGAAGAAAACACCACACTTCATCATTACAAAGATCGACTGTTTAAGGAAATAATTGCATTTTACAGTGAATATAATACGAAACCCATAAATTTAAAATGCAGAGTTACTGATTGTTGAAATAGGTGGTAAGTATAGTTACCATCGGGCCTTATAGGGTGAAGTGGCAACACTCAGAATGAATCAGTCGTACGAAAATGAAACGCACTGTCTTAGTGACCCCCTGCCAATTTTTACGCGTTTTAGATGCTTTTATCTGCCCCACAGGTGTGTGAAATGCTGAAGAACGGGGCTTCCTACGTGTGGGACGATGAGATGAAAGTACCGTACGCGATTCAGGGAGACCAATGGGTAGGATTCGACGATGAACGCTCAATCAGGAACAAAATGCGATGGATTAAGGACAACGGATACGCTGGAGCCATGGTCTGGACCGTGGACATGGATGACTTCACGGGATCCATCTGCGGTGGACGTGTCAAGTACCCGCTCATCGGAGCCATGAGGTACTTTACGAAGTTACGCTCTTGAGCTAAGGCAGAAAATTAATTTTTACTCTGTTGACAGAATCAGGGTATTTCGAAGTGACCGGGGGACGAGAGAGTTTCATGAAAATTTCGTCTTTCAAAAATTATTTAACGTCTTTCACGTCTGCATTTACTGAACATACTTTAACGACGTAGTCTATCATAAGATACAAAACTATTAACAGTGTATCCGGGCATGATATTTATTATGGCTTGTTTAACGACACTTAATAGTAGTTCAGATTATAACCTATATCTTTTAATGGTAGGATGATTAGTGAATAATGAATTAGAAATTATTTGGAGTGAAGTGGTTATGGTCTACGTTTAGTTGCCATCCCTCCATTTGTCTGGAGGAACGGAATAAAACTACGAAAAAACCTCAGTTAAGATAGATTTGAACCTGGGGCCTCCCAAATACAGAGCAGGACGCATCTATGATTGGCGCACAATCGCATCGGGTAAATTAACTTTTTGGTTCCTATATTTCAACGCAAGAATATTTAAATTTCTGTTTCAGGGAAGAACTCAGAGGAATTCCCCGTGCAGACAACGCGAAGGACGTGGACTGGAGCAGGGTTGCCAACTCAATCAGCATAGAAACGACCACGAAGCCACCGCCTATCAAAATATCAGTCAGCGAGGTACTGAAAAGAGTCAGGCCACAGAAACAAAACACTGACGCCTCTGCGCTCCAGAATGTCGTTGATCCACACGGTAAGCAGAATTGCTCCCTGCGTGTCTCAAGGTTAAAGTGGATGTTATGGATTAATTTATTCAGCCTCAGAGGTCGAACTGAGATGTAATATGCAAATGACGAAAGCCATTTCGTAGGGCGGTGATGTGGGTGAGTGAAAGTGGCTGCCAGAGGGCGGATTGGTCGTTTGCTTCTGCACGTCAGTTTTCCAGCCTGAGTTAGGGTCGTGGACCAGTGATGTTTGTTTGAACCATTAATTAGTTGAAACGTATTCATTTATACTTGTTTCCTGCAACGTGTATGAAATCTAGACTTATGATATAATATAAATTCTCCCCGAATTTGTCTTTCGTCTTCCTTTAGTCTTTCTGTGTTTGTTGTTTTACTTAAGTAATTTAATTGTCCTTTTTTATTTATACCTTTATTTTCGCTCTCTTTCTATTTCTTTTTAAATTTCCTCATTTTCTTCTTTTATACTCTCCATATTTTTTTCACTCCTTCATACCTGTCGTTTATAGATAATATTTGGAACCAATTAACTAAACTTTCGCTTCGCCAGACATAGTTTAATTTCAGGAAAAAAAAGGCCCATTGACTCTCAGAAGTCGTTACGTTGAACACTGCAACAACCAAAAGCTCAATTCGTTCAAAATCTAGAAATCAAGCCACGGCACAAATGCCAAGGGCTAACAAGGTCAACATCTATCATCTGATCGACGTCTTCCGGTCTGTGATTTAGATTTAAAAAAACTCGACAACGCTCTCGATGTCGTATTATAAAACAGGCTTCTATTGTCATTAAAATCTGCGCATCAGCTGTAACGTAAGATTTTTGAACAGTTTCAATTCGGGGAATGCTTGGTACAATTCATTCCAAAATCTTAATGTTCTGTGTTCAGGCCAGTGGTTTTAAAACCCACATTATCTAATCAAATAATTCACCAGTTGAGTGGTGAGTACATTCAATAGTTGGTATTGGTACCATGTTGTATCCACCATTGTAAATTGCACCTGGTTGACCAGATGCCATTCAAATAAGAGGTGGACGTAGTGAATGGCTGCATATTACGTAATCGACTCCACCCAGTTCTGTCGCTGGTCCAGTTTTCGTTCGTGCACGTTTCACGTTCTGTAGAAATGCATTCGGAGTTGAATGAACCACCACCACTGCCTGCTACCTGGAAATTGGTTTCGTATCACAACGTTATACTCCGAACTTTAACAATGACAAAAGAACTGATAAGAGTCATTTTCCTGTTGCATTATCTCGAAAAACAATCATCAAAATTCGTTTGCCATCGCTTGAAGATCATCATCCATTTGTAAATTTTTTTTCTCCTTAGGTCGTACAGTTATTTCCATTTCGTGTGTGATTTTGATATTCACTGCTTTTCGCACCTTTGACCACAAAAATCACGTCACTCTCCTCTCCTCCTCTTTGGTACATTCCTATAAAAGTAGCAACCATTTTAAATTTTGGAACATATTATTACTACTGAAAAGGCAATAGAAGTGAAATACCAGCAACACTTTGAGGTAAACTAGTTGCCTTTATTTCTTTATTTAATCGATTAACTTATTTTTTACTTTCCCTCGCTGTGTTCCAGTACGTGGGCCTCAAGTGTTCTGTTACATGACCAGCTGGTCCCAGAAGAGGCCAGGTGCTGGAAAGTTCACTCCTGACAATGTTGACCCGTCGCTTTGTTCTCACCTGATTTATGCCTTTGCAACTCTCAAGGACCACAAGCTAGCTGCTGCAGATGAGAAGGACATTGAGATGTATGGCAGAGTGGTAGCCTTGCGTGAGAAGAATCCCAGTATCAAGGTATAATGGGATGCAGAAACAGGACAAAACCATTTCCTACTGCCAGACACAAAACCTCATTGTATAGACACAGCTTTTATACGTATTTTAATATTTCTCATGTCATTTTGTGCTAAATTTGTAATTATGAGAAAGAATTCTTCTCCAGTTAATTAATGAAAAAGTAGGTCTTTGAAAAATACATTCTATATTTTTCAGTATAAAGAAGACATGAAGAAGAAAGAAAAGTGAATTATTATAAAACATACTCTTTAAATTAACCTTGTTAGTTTTTTGTGTCATGGTGGACATGGAATTGGCACATGCTTCCAAACTGAATGTTCTAGGAAGGATAGAAAAGATCCTAGAAAAGAAAAGATGAAACCTAGAAATCACCACACAATCTAACACGTGACTCGATACGGATAAACAAAGATATCTGAAAGCTATAATATCTGATATAACCTAAATTTTATGCAAGGGCTTTTGCTGCTATTGAGTATTGCAAAATGCAAGTTCTGAACGCTGAGTACTTTTATGTTCGTAGATTCTGTTGGCTATTGGTGGATGGGCATTTGGATCTACTCCATTCAAAGAACTCACGTCCAATGTTTACCGAATGAATCAGTTTGTGTATGAGGCCATCGAGCTACTAAGAGACTACAAGTTTGATGGACTGGATGTTGACTGGGAATACCCCAGGTAATAGTTTTTAAATTAAATTGTCATATGAGTATTTTCTTTGACGCTGTCTTTCGGATCAGTAACATGCAGAGTCTCATAGGCTGCCTC